CGTGTGTGTGTGCGTGTGTGTGTGCGTGTGTGTGTGTGCGTGTATGTGTGTGTGTGAGTGCGTGTACTTGTGTTGGCATGCCCTTTTTTTTCTTTTATAGAAGTTCTAGAGGCTAGGAATAAAGTGCTGTGAATCGCAGACATGCCTTTTTCCCTCTCTGATCCACATTTATAATTTATTCACCCCTCATCAATGTTTCAAAAGATCTATTTTGTAGGTTCTACTCTAACACTGTCTTCTATATTTCTTCCTCCTCTACCAATTTAGGTGAGCATCATTTTGTGAGGAAAAAAGGTTAGTATCAAACTCTGTGCTTCACTTTGATCATGTAGCCTACACAAATAAGAAATGCATCATTTTAAAAGTGCACTTTGTGATTTTTCCAACATTAAAAAAGTTTTACACATACAGTAAATAAAGTAAAACCAAGGTACACTAACATGAAAAGAATAATCTAGTCATATCTGTAAGGGTAGGACCTTCTGTACATCTTTTATTCATATACTGTAATATTCATATAATAGAGATTTCCCCTTGGTGACCTTGTGAGCTGTACATCCTTCTTCATGGTTTTCTAAAGCATTTATTCTACATTTAAAGTGGAGCATGACAGCACTTATAGGGTGTCAAGTGCTGTTTGGCACAAATAATGATATTCAGTCAGAAGTTTTGAAAATTGATACATTACTGCTGAACTAAATAAATATGCATATCTCCCACAAAACGCTTCTCACATTAGGTCCGTGAGACTTTCAGCTGTTAATTGAGGAAGTATTAAGGGCAATATTTGAAGAGCAATTATTAGTTGCCTGGGAGGGTGAATATTTTGTCTGTTATTTAGGCTGTTAATTAATTATAATTTTTTTTGTATAATTTTTGCTGGATTTGGAGTATCACATTCAAATTTAAGCCTCACAAAATCTACCAGGCTATAAAATTGTGTTCTCACACAGCAGTGTACATGATCAATGATCCTTTATGATCTTAAATAGATTGTTCATCATCATTAACTCACCCTCGAGTTGTTCCATGCCCCTGTACAGGTTTTTTCTTCTGTCAAACACAAAAGAAGATGTTTTGCAGAATGCTGAAACCATGCAAAGTGAATGGTTACTTGCAGCTGTTAAAATCAAAAGTTCATAAAAGGGCATGAAAAAGCAGATAAGCAACAGACTGAAATTCTGATTACTCAGACGTGCATATTCAAATTGCGCAAATGAGATATGAAAGGAAGATATGACTATAGCGCACCCCTTTTCTGATACTTTAATGGTGCTTTTTTGTTGTTTTTGGAGTTTGACATCCTGTGGTCAGCATTAACTTTCTTTATATCTACGAATATGCTGTCCTACATCTTCTTTTATGATTTACAATATATATATATATATATAATAAAAATCATAGGGATTTGGAATGGAAATGGTGGGTAAATGATGGAAGAATGTTCCCTATCCCTTTAATTATGTTATTATTAATTATGTTTAAAGGGGTCACATGATGTTGCTAAAAAGAACATTGTTTGGTGTAATGAAATGTGTTTATGCGGTTTAAGGTTAAAACATTTTCCACATACTGTACATTATTGTTTCTCCTCTATGCCCCGCCTTTCTGAAACGTGTCGATTTTTACAAAGCTCATCAGTCTGAAAAGCAAGGTGTGCTGTGATTGGCCAGCTATCCAGTGCGTTGGGATTGGGCGAATACCTCAAGCGTGTGATGGAAATGTTACGCCCCTTACCATACTGTCAGGCCGTGTCCCGGAGCGACGATTCAAAAACATTCAAACCCATTATAAACGAGGCATTTTTATTGTCCAGTGGGGACATAATTACGGATTATAATGACGTATACTGTCTT